GTTTCCGATTCTGTGTCTCCCTCTCTCTCTGCCCCTCCCCCGTTCATGCTCTGTCTCTCTCTGTCCCAAAAATAAATAAACGTTGAAAAAAAATTTTTAAAAATAAAAACTTTTTTTGTTTTATTTATTTAATCTCTACACCCAACATGGGGCTTGAACTCATGACCCTGAGATCAAGAGTTGCATGCTCTTCCAACTGAGCCAGACAGGTGCCCCAGGACTTCTCTTTCTGATTCTGATCAGGCTCTCCTGGAATTACTATATTATCTCAGGACTCCAATGTCCACTAAAGAAGCCAAGGCTCAGAGCAGAGGGGAGCAAGGGCCAGCACCAGGAGTCCTGCCTTGCAGCCCTGATGCCGGAAGAAGGAATGGGGAGACCCAGCAGAGAGTGAGGGAGTTGGGCTATACATATAACATGTAAGTGTGGATACCTATGGGCTGGTGAGGGGAGCCCATTTCCAAGCTCTCCTATACAGAGGTTTCTGGCTTCTTAAAAGCTTCCCTTTTGCCCTGTGTTCTCAGCTTTGCCTCCCAGAATTGGATCCTTTTACCCAAGGGCCCTGAGCCTAGGTTCAGAATTCTCCATCAAAGCACAGGTACGTGCTCACATCCAGAAGTCCTGAGTGGATTGTCCCTCAACCCAAGGAGCAAGTTTTCCTGGTAACCAGCTCCATTGTTTTTGGAGGACCCTACCAGATTAGCAGCTGTCCCTCAGGGACTTTTATCTCTAGCCCCACCATCTCTGTTTTCCCCTGTTTCTCTCCGTTCATCTTCCTGTTTTCCTGTCTCTAGGTGCCTTTTTCTTTCCCATCCCCTCTGTGTTCTCTGTCGCTGGTGTCTCTCCTGGAGACAAGGGCTGGGCCTGGGTGCATGGGGGTGGGGGTAGCGGCCAGACCAGGGGCCCGGGACATGAGCGCAACTTTCCAAGCTTCTCTTCCAGGCCCCTGTGGTTGGGGAGCTCCACAGAGGGAGAGATGAGTCAGCGGGCCCGCAGAGCAGGGGGGGGGGGTCTAGGTGGGGGTGGGGATGCCGGGGTTCCCCAGGGCCAGGGAGTTCGCTGGGGCATCTCCGTCTCTCATCTCTGGAGGATATGGGGAGTCAAGGAGCTCTGGTTCCCCAAAAGGTTCACTAGAGGTGGCTACACTAGTAGGAGCTGCAGGCAGCAGTTTATAGGACTGGCAGCGCCCTCCTCATCACCCTTATTCTCAGATTCCTCCGGGAAGAGGGGTTCCTAAATCCCCCCAAGGATACTTCAGGGACCTTTAGAGCTGTACAGCTGTGGTGATGGGCCTGTGTGTATGTGTATGATGCCTGCCATATATGTAAATGTGTGTACTGATGGGAGTGGGTGGGAGTCCCCAGTTGGGAAGGTGCTCTAGGTGACTGTGAGTCTGTCCCTATGTATGTACGCTGGTGTGCGCATTCTCGTGATTGGGGGTTAAGGTAGGTGTCTTGTACAAACATCATCTATATAGAGCTAGATATATAGGTGTGTATCAGTGTGGGTGCCTATGGAGTAATCAGTGGACCCTTGAACAACATGGGTTTGCACTGTGTGTGGGTCCATTTATACACCCATTTTTCTTACAGCCCAGTACAAACGTATGTTTTCTCTTCCTTATGACTTTCTTTTTTTTTTTTTTTTAATTTTTCTAATATTTATTTTTGACAGAAAGAGAGGCAGAGCATGAGTAGGGGAGGGGCAGAGAGAGAGGGAGACACAGAATCTGAAACAGGCTCCAGGCTCTGAGCGGTCAGCACAGAGCCCGACGCAGGGCTCGAACTCACGGACTGCGAGATCATGACCTGAGCCGAAGTCGGATGCTCAACAGACTGAGCCACCCAGGCGCCCCTCCTTATGACTTTCTTAATAACATTTTCTTAACTCTAGCTTACTTTATTGTAAGAATACGTACAAGTCTATAATACATATACAAAATCTGTGTTGACTGACTTTATGTTATGGGGAAGTCTTCCGGTTCCACAGTAGGCTATCGGTAGTTAAGTTTGGGGGGAATCAAAAGTTATATGCTGGTTTTCGACTGTGAGGGGGTTGGCATCTCCAACCCTTGCACTGTTCAAGGGTCAGTATATGTTCATAACTCAGCATGTGTGTGAGCGTGTATCTAAAAGTGTGTCACTCATTAGGTATGTATTAGGGTATGTGGATGTATTCCAGGGGCTCTGTTAGCTGTTCATGGGTGATTCTAGGGTAGCCAAACCTTCTATAACAACAACAGGAAAGGGTTAGGAGTCCCTTTGGCTTACGGCTGTCAGAGGGAGCCCGGTCTAGGAGGGTGAGCAGCGGGCAGTGGGTGTGGAAGGAGGCAGCTTCCTTAAGGAGTAGGGGGATAAGCAGTCTTCCACTCTGCCTAGTTTTCACTCTCTCTCCACCTCACCCCATCCCACCCCCCAGTCTTTCCAAAAGATCCCAAACCATTAGAGAGAACTGAGGCAGGTTCCGGATTCAACCCCTCTAACCTAGAAATCCCACCCTGATTCTTCCAGGGGAGGGAGGGAAGGGAGCGGTCCTGTGGTTCAGCCCAGTCCTGGGGTTGAGAGATCAGAAAGGCACCATCCCACCCCTTCCTTCAGGGGCGTCCATCTCAGAGCTCAGCATCTGGGTGGCCATGGGCGGAGGCTGAGGGGCCCCCAGGGTGGTGGGGGGGTGGTGGATAGAAACCAGATGCCTAGGGGGTTTATACTGGAAGGACCAGAGCCGCAGCCTCTACCCGCCCCTGCCACATGGCGCCTCTGCCTGGGCTGCCCCACCCCCTGGGAGGCTGGGCTGAGGGAGGCCTGCAAGGGTGGAGGCAGGTCTTTGGTCAGGGCTCCCAGTCGCTGCCCCTACCCCCTGGGGGCACTGGGAAGGGGGTTAGGGGTCTGGACCCAGGAATACCAGGGCCTCGGCTGGGCAGTAGGACTATCTTTTAAATGAGTGTGGAAAAAGTCAGAACCCAGGGTCCCAAGGGAGGCAGCTGGGGCTTCAGGCAACCCCTCTACCTGGCTTTGGCACCGGCCTTTGGGAGGGGGCTCTGTGTCCAGGCGCTATCCTATTGGGGGTGACGCATCAGGGACCCTGGCTGACATATTTCTGGGAAAGTTGCTCCTTCCTTTTCCTTCCCTAGCACTCCAGTCCCTCCCCAGGTACAATTAGGGATAAAGCCCCCAAGGGAAGTGGAGAAGGTTGACCTCTGCCCCCATCTCCTCTCCCCAACCCTGCATCTCTATTCATCCTTCCTTGTTCAGTCCTTTCCTTTCTTCCCCGATGTAGGCTGAGACCCAACCTCTTCTCTCACCTGCCACGGCTCTTCTCGGTTCTGGAGTCTACACTTTTCTCCTCTGCCTCAGTTGCCTGCCCGATCTAACTAGTCTCAGGCTTTTCTACTGGCTGTGCAGTAATTTCTCCAAAGCTTCCCCTTCTGATTCCCAGTTTCTGAGTGGGGGGCCCCAGAAGTCCATCTGGCACCTCAGCCTCGGATGCCCCCACCAGGGGGAGACTGGGAGGTCAAGGGGACACCCCACCACGGGCACTTCCTCTTGGGCAGACGGGTGGGGTGGCCCATGTGTAATCATCGGACACAATTATGCGCTATTTATACTCCCTCCCCGCCCCCCCACCTGCCTGGCCGCTTAACCCTCTGCCTCCTCCAGACCTGGCCATGCCTCCAGCTATTTTTTCTGTCCTGTCCTTCCAAGCCATGGTCTCTATCTTTGTTCCTCTGGGCCTGTTTCTTTTCCTTTTTCTTTTTTTCTGTTCTCCGTTTTTTTAAAGCCAAGCACCTGGCCTTCTGTTTCCCTCTTGTCTCTTTCTCTTTTATGTCCCACAGCGTCTCTTCTGATTCTCTTGGATTGTTTTATTTGTTTTGTGTATCTCTAGGTCTTTCTAGGAAGAGCTCACTCGCTCTTCCTTCCTTCCTTCCTTCTTTCCTTCCTTCCTTCCTCTCTCTCTTTCTCTTTCTTTCTTCTTTGTTTTCTTGTTTCTTTCTCTTTTGTCTGCCAGACACTCTGTTTCCCTAAACCCTTTCTCCAAATGCTGAACCCCCAGGGTTGCTTGGGGTAATTCACATCAAGGGGCTGGAATCCAAATGCCTGGTCCTGGTCCTGAATTTTGATTCTGCCTGCTAATTAAACTGCACTTAACCCTCCCTGAACCTCCAGTCTGCTTCTCCCTCTTCCCCACCTTTTCCTCAGTGGGCACAAAAGAAGCTAGGCAGTGGGCACTCAGGGGAGAAAGTGAGAGAACTGGGTTGGGGAGTTGGGGGGGGGGTCCTTTTCACTGATGGACATGGAACCCCGCTGTGGGAGAGATGCTACCGATTGGCTGCCCAGTCCCTTCTCTCTCATAAACTTACCTTAGGACCCAGGTTTCAATTATTAAGACTTTTTGGGTTTCCCTCACCCAACCTAGTCCACCTTCTTTTCTTCCCTTTGTGATGAGAAGTCATAGTTGGGAAGTCCTGCCGAAGCTCTAACTTCAAGTCTGCCTGCTGCAGAGGGAACTGATGCATGGCAGTGAGACAGAGAACTGGGAGCTCCCTCCCAGGAGAGCATGATCACTCAGAAGAACTATCCAGCAAAGCATAGAGATTTGACGTGTGGCCAAGAGGAGCTTAGGGATGGTAACTGGCAAGGAATGATGAAGGCTAGGGCTTATCTTTTTGGGAGTTAATCCAAAGGGGCAAGGTTCGAGCATGGATGAGTTGATCCAATGAACTTCTACCTCCACCCTCACTCCTTCCCACCTGAAATTTTCTTAGAATCGGAAGATCCAGGTTCTGCCCTACAAAATGAGGTAGGCCTAGGTGGTACTTTCTTAGGAGTGAAACTGAGGCATTGGGAAGAAGATTGGGGAACCCCTGAGCCTGTGCCAAGCCTTTCTCCCACTCTCCACCCCTTCCTCCAGGCCTTGCTCTGGAACCTGCCTCAGTGACCCTAAAAGTTTGGGCAGCCGAAGCCTCCACCCAGAGCACGGCCCCCCTCCTGTCTCTCACAACAGGCTCGCACACACACTGTTCTCCTGATCTAGAGGTGGGGGACGGGGGACGCAAGCATCTCTGTGGTCAGCTCGGGTGTATGTGTGGTGTGTGCACCTCCAGCCATGTCCCTGGGCTCATTTGAGTGTGAGTGTGCCTGTGTTCATTCATGACAGCGGCTGTGGCCGTGTGGGCAGTGCTGTGTGTGCGGACGTGTGCATGTATCATCCTGTGTTTGTCCGTGAGTGCGTATGTCAATGTGTTCCAGTCTCTCTGTGTGAGTGTCGTCCCCCATCCCCCCCCCCCCCCCCCCCTGGATCTCTAATTAGTGGTTTGGGGTTTGTTCCTTTTCCCTCCTGTTCCTTCCCTCAGCGGCGCGGCAGCCTCAGCAGCAGTAGGAGCGGCGGCAGCAGAAGCGGCGGCAGCAGCAGCAGCCAGGACTCTGGAGTCAGAGTAGGATTGTAGGATCGCAGCCCGAGTGGGAGCAGGAGTGGAGCTGGCCTGGGAGAGGAGCGGAGCCCTCCTGGGGCCCTCAGGCCACCCCTTGCCTGCACTCCCACTGCCAGACCTCCAAGGAGGAGAAACCCAGGACACCCAGCCCCAGAGCCCCCAGGTACATGACACTGGGCAGCCCTGGGAGGGGTTCCCGCGGAGGTCTATGGGATTGCTGGGGGCAGGGTGTGGGACACCTGGGCCCACCGTCCCTTCCACCCTTCCCCTTCAGCAATCCCCCCCCCCCCCCAACCCAGGACAGACACTTGACAACTTGCCCAGGGTCCTACCCTCTTCCTGCTTCCACCCCTTCCCTGGAGCCCTGTTTGTCCTCTCCCGCCCAGATCCCTTCTTTGGGGAGCTCAGCAAATGGAGCAGGACATTTGGACCCTCTGCCTCCCTCTCTCGCCCTGCTCATTGGATCTGGAGCCTTCTCCGCTGGGAAAGCTGTAATTAGAGGGTGGATCCCTACAGACAGAGAGCAGCCCCCCCCACCCCCCACCCCCCAGTCCCTTCTAACTTTAGATCTCTTCTCTCCCATTCTCCCATTCTCCCTCCCTCTCCCTCTCCCTCTCTCTCCGGCTCGGCTGGCTCTCTCCATCTGCCTAGCTCCTTGGGACCCGTTCCCCAGCCTCAGGATGGCGTCCTCCCTGCGTGAGGTAACTGCCCCCTCCTCCCCCCAGGACACCAGCAACGGTCCTAATGGTCCTAATCCCTCCCCGCCCCCCTGCCTCCCAACTCACACAGACAGTGGCTGTGGTGCTTGTCACTTCCAGGGTCCCTCTGATGAGGAGAGAGGACAGGGCTCAGAGGGGGGAGCAGAGGGCAGGAGGAAGGGCTGGAGAGAGAGGGGCCACGGGTCAGAGAGCTGTCAAAGGAAGATGAGAGGGGCCAGGTCAGAAGAAGGCATGGACCTCTGAGGTCCACAGCACACGCCAACCCCGAGGAGTGGACAGGGATGGAGAAAGGAGGAAGAGGAGGGGTAGGAGATGAGTCAGCCCTCACAGACAGGGGGAGAGAGTGAAAGGGCTGGTGCGGTGGGCACCAGGCACTACACTTCGTATTAGTGCCTTGGGGGTCCCATATCCGGGAGCTCCTGGCCTGAGCCTGGGCCGCATCTTGTCTGGTTTGTAGGTGGGCAGGGGCTGGGCCTCGGGGCCGGGGTGTGTAGGGGAAGAGGTGAGTTATGAGAGAAGAGAGAAGGCAGCCCTGTGCATGTGGGGGGGCTGACCAGAGGAACTGGGCCCGGGCCTGAGAGGGAAGCAAGGAGGAGGGCCAGGGTCTGAGGCCGCCTGCCCGGCTCACAAATATTTAGCTTTCAGCCAAAGACAAACTCAGCTCTATTTTGGGAGTGGGAGGCTCCAGGGCGGACTGGGCCACTTCCCCTACAGGCTGGGACCCCGGCATCCCTTGCCTTCGGCACTGGGGTTGGAGGGCGCTAGGGTACCATGGAGGTCAGGTCTGGGGGTCTTGAGAAATCACGGACTCTACCAGCGGGGGGCAGGGGGAGACTCCAGGTGCATAGTTGGAAAGGAAGGACTCATAGCCACTCAAAGCCACTGAGAATGTCCTGAGTTCTCCTGGCTTCTGGGTCTCTGACTCTGTTCCTCTGTCATCATCTCTGTCCTGTTTTCTGGGTCCCTCCACAGGAGTTTGGGGCCGACAGCCCACCCTTCAGGTCAGCCACCTTCAGTAGCCTTGAACTTTCCATATTCACAGGCCCCTCAGAAGCCCCCATTTCCGCTCTCAGTGCCCTAGCTCAGGTCCCAGGGGTGATGGGCTGACCAGGAAGTGGATTCATTCAGCCTCCAGGAGAGATGTGTGTGAGACCTGAGCGAAAATCTTTTTTAACACCTGTGTTCACTGGCCTGGGCAGAAGTGCTCGGATGGAAACCAGCGTGCCTGCATATGCATGGCTGGCTCCGTGCGAGCACAGGTGTGTGTGTATGTGTATCAGCTGGGCCATCTGAGCATCTGGTCGTCCAAGTGAAGAATCGTGTGTGTGTGTGTGTGTGTGTGTGCGTAAGACCGGGAATGGTGAGTTTGTGACTGAGTTTGAGGGAATGGCATGCAAGCCAGTGGTGTGGACACGATGTCTCTCGTCACTGCTCGGTATCCAGCCGGGGTCCCCAGGTGTTGTGCTCTACTTCCTGTTGCAACAAGGGCAGATCGCTGACCCTGCCATTTTCCCACTGGACTCTATATTGAGCCGTCATTGAAACACTGTGGTTGGTCTTGAGGAAGTTCCGGGACCAAGGTGTGTGGGGATCCTGGGTCCATCCAGGGCAGGGGCAGTGTCAGTGGGCGTGGGCACCACGCCAGGTTGCCAGCGTGGCACTGGTGCCTGGGGGGAGGGGCTGGCCCAGAGGCCTGTTGGAAAGACACAGGATCGGGGTAGCACTTCTGGGCTCTTCATGTCCCTCACTCCTCGTGAGCTGGAGATGCCCCCAACACAAAGGCACTCCAGTCCTTCTGTCTGTTTCTCCTACTCTTGGGGCACTGGGGCCCTCAATTGTCCCCTTCCCCCACCCAGGAAGCCCTCTGCCTGGTATAGGTGGGCTCTCTGGTGGTGGGAAGAACTTGGAGGTTCAGAGAGGGAAACGGCTGCTGTCTGATGAGAGGATCACCTGGGCTGAATGAACTGCAGGGGAAGAGGCCAGAGGGAGGAATGGGGGTGCGGGCCAGGTGGGCAGGGAGAATTGCAAGTGGGGAGAACCAGACAACATGGCGGTGGCTGAAATGGAGAACTGGAACCCAGGACCGTGTGTGCCCAGAGTGGATGGCCAGCTGGTCCTCAGATGTAGCGTGAGCTTCAGCAAGAGGTCAGCCCGGCACTGTGAGCTCCCCGGAAAAAGGGGGCCCCCTTCCCTGGCTGCATGTAGGAGTGAGAGAGCTGGGCAGCTCCTTGTTCTTTCTCTGGAGACTCCTTTTCAGTACTTGAAGCCTGCTTTTATTGTTTTAGCAGAAGGTGGGGGGGGGCAGAGGTTGGAAGAAAAACAACCGGAAGGTGGGACCCCTGGGCGTCCAGGAAGGTGATACATTTGATCAGGTATGGGGGTGCATATGTAGGACCCCCTCAGGAGCACGCAAGCGGCCGCAGAAGGGAAACTGAGGCTCTGATGAACCTAGCCAGGTGTCCGGCTCTTGGACTCCAGAACCTTCCGAGTGGGTCTGGTGCCTTGCTCCCCCTTCTCTGCCCTCAGGGGCCCTGGGGGCCACCACTCCAGGGCTGGGGTCTCCTGTTGGCCTGGGGCTGCTAGCCTTCTTTCACCCCTCCTTCCTTCTCCCCAGCTGGGTGGGGTCCCTGGGCTTGGCTGAGGCCCCTGTGGCCACAGTGTGAGGGCCGGGCGGGGGGGACGGCGTCGGCGTTTTTAAAAATAAACCGACCGCAGGGAAACCAACGGAGCCGGGCTGGGCCGAGGGGGAGAAGCGGTCAGGGGGAGAAGGAGGGAGGAGTGGCCTGGTCTGGGGGTTTTCTGGGGCCCAGCATCATGGTGGTTTTCTCTTAGGTAGGAGATCTGTCCTCCTCCTCCTCCTCCTCCTCCCCCTTCCACTTTATTTTTTCTTCCTCCTTTCTTTCCCTCTGTTTTCCTCCGCCTTCCTGCCTTCCGAGCCCAGTCTCTCTCCATCACCTCTTTGTTTATTCTCCTTTTCCGCTCTCTCTCTGCCCTTTGTCTTTTCACCTTCCTGCTCTTTTGGGTTTCTGCCCATTTCTGCCCCTTGATGCCAGTTTTCCCCTCTGCCTCCCCTTCCCCCACCCCCGGTGGCTTTTATGTCTGTGCCTCACCCTGTGCAGGGTCCTTTGCTCCTCTCGGCTCTGGGTCTCTGCCTCTCCCCTTGGCACTGCATGTTTTTCCCTCTTCGTTCTGCTAGGATTTGACTCCTGCGCCGGCTTCCCTGCCTCAGCCTACCCTCTGCTTGGAAGACTCCAGGGAAACTTTGGCTGGGGAGGACCCAGGGCTTTTCCCGTAGCCAGATTTGAGGAAGGTTTTGGTGGCTCAAATTTGGGAGGAGTCCGTGGGGTCAACAGGACTTCAGAGAGAGGTAACTGGGCAGGGCGGGGGCCTCAGGTTTGCACTTGGGGAGCAGCACAGGGGTGATGACTGCACACACCCCTCACTGCAACCTTAAAACCCCAGACCTACCTGTAGGATTGGTGTCACACACACAAACCGCATGCTCGGAGGGACCGGGCAGGTCTTAGATGCTTGGGTTCTTTTTTAGCTTTCCTGGGAAAGCACCGCGTACATCAGCTTTTGAGGACCCCAGTCGGGGAACTGTACAGGGCCAGCTTTTGAGGGCATCTTTTTGGGTGGGGTTCTCAGTATGGATGTCTGTACCAGTCAGAGATTCTGGAGGGGATCTTCTCCTCCTGGGGTGTCCTGAGGTTGACCCAGGGAGGGGTACCACGAGTTCCCGAGGGATGGGAATCTCAGGGTGGTTTGGCCAGGTAGCAGTAGCATGATGGGTATTAAGGGCGTCTTGTGCTTGGAAAAGAGCCCCGTGCCTCACATCTATATATCTTCCTTCACTCACGGGGCTGGAAGGGTGTCGAGAGATCAGCTACATGAGGGCTACATGTTAGGGGACACTGGACATGGAGGGGCATGGCCATGAGCCAATATCTTAGCCATCCCAATTCCCAGCCCCAGAGGAGTGTGAGGACTTCGGGCTCCTCCAGCCTTCCCAAAGGGGTACCAGCTGGCTCCACAAAGCAGGAGGGTGCCCACTGCCCGCTTGAAAGACATTCTTGCCTCAGCCACAGTCCTGGCTTGGCGGCAGCCCTGTTCCCTCTCAATGTCCCAGTGTCTCCGCGTCGCTTCCTCTTGCTCCCCAGCTCCAGAGTCCCTGCCAAGAGATTCCTTATTCCTTACATGAGGCTGTGGCCTCAGGGAGACCGGGGCACTGGCTGCCTTCGTCAAGAGCTGAAGCAGAGACAGGAAGTGGAATATGGGGGTAAAGCTGAGAAAACCTGGAGTGGGGGGGGGGTGACTGCAGTCCCCTAATACTTCTCTTTCTCCCCATGTGTCTCTTTGAGACTTATCTTTCCTCTCCAAGTCTCGGACCATGACCTCTACTCTGAACCCACTTCCAGGGGCAGGACCCCTAATTCTCACCTCACCCAGGTGCGACGTCCATCCCAGGCTCTTCTCGTTGCTATTTAAGAAGTGTCTCCTGTTCCTCTGAGTCCCTGGCACCCCCCAGGAACTCCACAGTGAGCTTGGCCTGGGTCGGGTTGTTAGGCTGCAGTCTGGACCTGTCTCTCCTTCCGTGAAACCTTCTGGGCTCTGCCCTGGGGCCCAGGGCTCTTGGCTGGCCCCTCCACCTCCCATCCTCTTGAACTCTTCCTGGAACCCCCTTGGTTCTGCTCTCCAGGCCTCCGGGCCTTACCCCAGGGTTTTGCTCTTCCTTCTACACTTTCTCGTCTCTCCCTAAGCAGTGCTTCCCTCTGTCCACAGGAGGAAGCTCACTATGGCTCCAGTCCCCTGGCCATGCTGACGGCGGCGTGCAGCAAATTTGGTGGCACCAGCCCTCTGCGGGACTCAACGACACTGGGCAAAGCAGGCGCAAAGAAGCCATACTCTGTGGGCAGTGACCTTTCAGCCCCCAAAACCATGGGGGATGCCTACCCAGCCCCCTTTTCAAGCACCAATGGGCTCCTCTCACCTGCAGGCAGTCCTCCGGCACCCACCTCGGGCTATGCCAATGACTACCCTCCCTTTTCCCACTCATTCCCTGGGCCCACGGGCACCCAGGACCCTGGGCTGCTAGTTCCCAAGGGCCACAGCTCTTCTGACTGCCTGCCCAGTGTCTACACCTCTCTGGACATGGCACACCCCTACGGCTCCTGGTACAAGGCAGGCATCCACGCAGGCATCTCACCGGGCCCAGGCAACGCTCCTACTCCTTGGTGGGACATGCATCCTGGGGGCAATTGGCTAGGTGGTGGGCAGGGTCAGGGTGATGGGCTGCAAGGGACACTGCCCACAGGCCCTGCTCAGCCTCCACTGAACCCCCAGCTGCCCACCTACCCATCCGATTTTGCCCCCCTTAATCCAGCTCCCTACCCAGCTCCCCACCTCCTGCAACCAGGGCCCCAGCACGTCTTGCCCCAAGATGTCTATAAACCCAAGGCAGTGAGCAACAGCGGGCAGCTGGAGGGGAGCAGTGGGGCCAAACCCCCTCGGGGCGCAGGCACAGGGGGCAGTGGCGGATACGGAGGCAGCGGAACGGGGCGCTCCTCCTGCGACTGCCCCAACTGCCAGGAGCTAGAGCGCCTGGGGGCAGCGGCAGCTGGGCTGCGGAAGAAGCCCATCCACAGCTGCCACATCCCCGGTTGTGGCAAGGTGTACGGCAAGGCCTCACACCTGAAGGCCCACTTGCGCTGGCACACGGGCGAGAGGCCCTTCGTCTGCAACTGGCTCTTCTGCGGCAAGAGGTTCACCCGTTCGGACGAGCTGGAGCGCCACGTGCGCACCCACACCCGGGAGAAGAAGTTCACCTGCCTGCTCTGCTCCAAGCGCTTTACCCGAAGCGACCACCTGAGCAAGCACCAGCGTACCCACGGCGAGCCCGGCCCAGGGCCCCCTCCCAGCGGCCCCAAGGAACTGGGGGAGGGCCGCAGTGCGGGGGAAGAGGAGGCCAGTCAGACGCCCCGACCTTCGGCTTCGCCGGCCCCCCCAGAGAAAGCCCCTGAAGGCAGCCCAGAGCAGAGCAACCTGCTGGAGATCTGAGCTGGGTGGAGGGTGTCCAGCCCCAGGGCTGCCTCGCCAGCCTCTTCTGGCTTCCTGGACCACTGCTTGCCCCTCACCCTCTTTTGCCCCTTGCATGCTGCCCTTGGGGCTCTTGCCGGCTCCCCCCCTGGCTATTCTGGGCCTGGGGGTCTCCCAGCATGCCTCCTCAGCTCACCCCTCCCTATGACTCGAGCCTGTAGTGCAAACTCTCATCTCGGGCCCTCACCTCGTGCCTGATTTCTGCACTCTGGCTTCCTAAATTCTTCCCTCGCTCTGCTCACGGCTTCCCTCTCCTCTGCTCTCACAGCATCATCTCATTTTCCTTCCATCTGGGCTCTCGACGCTTTATTTCTCCATCTCACTAACTCCTTAACAAACATCCTTTGTCAAGATCAGCTTCCCAGGCTGATTTCCCACTATCCCTTAGCTTCCAGGCTCCAGTCTTCCCAATTTCTTATTCCACTAGCTTGCCATGCTCCAGAGTGTTCTTTTTTGTTTGTTTGTTTTTTGTTTTTTTGGGTTTTTGTTTTTTTTTTTTTACAAACACATGATGATGATGATGATGATGATGATAATTTATTGCCCCCTGGTGGCCTCTTTATTAGGGACCAAAGTTAGGGGGATTGGGGTTAGTGACCTGGCAGGGAGCAGGGTGCCAAAAGTGGGGCAGACCAGTGGGGATCTGATCCCAGAGATGGGGTGACCCCAGGGTCAGGGAGGCTGCCCCCAGGCCTGTATATTTAACCCCTATGTTCCAAGAGAAATGAATACTAATAATAATAATTCTATTTATCTAAGTTATGATGACAGGTCAGGTAGAGTGAGCTGGGGAGGGAAGGAGGTCCATTTCTGCTATGGAAATTTTAGCTAAATGTATCTCTGTTTAGAAAAAGTGTTAGTGGAGATCTTGTTAATAGAATTTCTATCATCAGGGTCTCAGTTAATGGGGTTTCTCTTTTAATGGAATCTCTGCTAATAGGGTTGGTTAGCTAGATCTCTGTTAAAGAGTTGATGGGGGGGGTGTCTCTCAATTAGGGATCCCTAGTATTCCCAGCCCCAGCCAGAAGCTGTGAAACCTCAAGCCCTATGGAGGGGAGGACTGGAATGTACCCCAGCTTCCTTGACCCCAGAGCAGGTTCTTCCACTGCCCCTCCCCTGACACCATGACCCCGGCAGGCTAATCCCTTGTTGCCATGGTTATGGAGAGCTTGCAGCTGCCATCCTGGACACGCTTTTTTGTGGAAGCCCACCTAACAGGAGGAGCACAATGGTTTGGATGTGCCTCTCCTAAAGAATAGGTGGGGAAGGCTTTCTCTGGGATCAGATTCAAGTAAATCAAGTATTTATTGAGTGCCTATTCTGTACAAGGCACTACTAGGCTGGTGCCTAAAAGCCATGAGAAAGAATTTATAGAGCTAGGAGGACAGAGGTCCCCAAGCAGATTTGGGGTTGCGTCCACAGGGCCCTCAACCTGGGACTTCCAATGCTCCCAACTCCACCTCTGGTGACTTTTAAAGCCGCTTCGTGCCTTTGAATGCCTTTCCTGTGACTTTGGATCCTCCTTTTCTGTCTCCTGCTTCCTCAAGGCCCCAAGTTAAAGGGTTAAAGCCTCTGGAGCTTGGGGAGAGGGTAATATTGGGGAAGGGAAAGGATCATGCCCTCATGGAGTCTTTTTTTTTTTTAATTATTATTATTATTTAATAAAAAATTCGATTTTAACTTTTGTCCTGGTGAGAAAAGAAAAAGAGGAAGGAAGAAGAGTGAACCACAGGATTTTTCCTTGGCAAACTGGGCACTCCCCACGGGCATCCTATCGTGCCCGTTGGCACACTGTGCCCGCGGCAGAACGCCCGCGTCGGCCAGGCCCTCGGGCGGAGGTCAGTATTCGAGCGCCCAGAGCTCTCCGTGTCGAGTCGGGAAGGCGGGGAGGTTTCCTCCCCGGCTCTTTCCTGCTTCTACCTCCGGACTCCGGCCAGGGCAGGGAGCCGGCCGGCGCGCCGGCCCCGCGATCGCCGCGCTGACTACTGCGCCGCCCCGAACCGGTCCCGGCGGGCGGCCCCGGCCTGGCACGTAACCGCCCCCTGCCCCGGGCCTGCAATCAGCCGTGCCCGCCGCCGAGTTAGCGGACGAACAAAAGCCACTCTGTGGCGGCCAGCCCGGAGCCACAATAGGGCTTTGTGCGGCCCCCGCCCCCGGGCTCCCCCGCTGGGCTGAGGGGGCGCACGGGCGGCGCCCCCGGCGACCGTCACCCCCCCCCCCCAACTCCCGCCGGCTCGGGAGGCTCTGCGGGCGGGCTCGGACCGCCAGCCCCCTCCTCAGCCGGCCGCCGGGGCCGCCCCGTCCAGGTGCGAACCCTCCTGCCCTCAGGCGGGGCGCGCCGCTTCAAAGGGGCTTTGAAGAGGGCCGCGTTCCAGGGCTCCTCCCGCGGACTGGGGTTGGGGGCCGCGGCGGAAGAGACGCGGGGTGGGGGAGGGGGTCCCGGGCTCCCGCCCCCATCCCGCCGGGCAGGCTCCCCGGGACCCCCCAGGGCCTGGCCCTCTCGCCTCCCTGTCCCCGCCTGTCCGGTGCCAGCCCCCACCCGCCGCGGCCTCGCGGTCCTTCCCTCCCGGCCCCTCGGCCCCTTTCATCTTCCCTAGACTCCGCTTGGGGTTTTGCTGGTTTCTGGGAGATAAAAACCGCCTCAAATAGCGGCGGCGCGCTGCCAGGACAAACAGGGCCCGGCGGGCCATGTGCGCCTGGTTACCGGCCCTGAGCCGGGGCGCCGGGCCTCGGCGGGCCGATCTCCGGGCACGCAGGCTCCAGCGGCGCCTCCCGCCTCCCAAAGTCGAGGGCCCCTTTAAAAGCCTCGGGCAGGGCCGCTGCCTCGGTTTCCCGCCCAGGTCGTAGGGAAGGGCCCTCTCCCCGCCCCCCCCCCCCCCCCATTTGGAGACCGCCCGCTGAGCGCTCGGAGTTCATGGGGGCGGTGGGTCACAGTCTCTGTGTTGCCGGGGCCGCCGCGCCCCCTGGTGAAGTTAGTGGGAAGTGCGCTAGGGCTGGAGGTCGGCCTCCCAAGAATCCGCAACTCGTGAAAAACACTGGACAAACCTTAAACACCGGGCAGGCGGGGGTCCGGTGTGAATACACGGCGCACTGTTCCTCCTCCCCCGTTCACATTACAGGGTGAGAGGAAGGCCCCTAACCCGTAATTACAACACAACCTGTTGGTGAAACTCCGGCTTCACCAAAAGGAGGTGGAAGTTGCAAGCCTAGTCCGCAGTGATTTCTTGGGGGTATGTATGGGTTGGATGGTGCCATGATTGAGGTTCAAGCAAAAACTTTGTCGGCGGGTTCTCAGTGCTCCCCACTAACTGTCAGAGTCATTGACTCCTTCTTTTCCTCCAAAGCCTGTCCTGCTTCCCCTTCTCAAGGAGAGCTTTTCCAGCCAGTTTCCCCAACTACCCTCGGCTTTTCTCGACATCCTTTAAGCTTTCTGTGACATTCCAGGTGACGGTGAACTAACCTAGCAAATTAAACTGAGGCTATTTAAAATTTGGTCAAAATAAATACATAAATAAATAAAATAAAATTTGGTCTGTGCAGTATTACGTGGGAGGCGTTTTGGAAATACAGCTTAAAAGCTCCACCGCAGAATCTGCATTTTTAGCAGGATTCTCTGGTGGGTCTATGTTCACTAACACTTGGAAAGTACTAGAGTGGAGGAGACCCGTGGCTTTCTCCTTGTTAAGGGCATTTTCAGAGGAGACTTCTTGTTTTCTGACCCTGGAATAACTCTCTTGGGGGCAACTTTTCATGTAGAAGGAAGGGGCAGACAGAGTCCAGGAATGCTAAACTTAGAACGCCCCCTAGTTTCTCCAACTTGACTGGCAACTCTTGAGAGCAGTGACTATGCCTTATACATTTCTGTGTCCCCAGAACATGGTCCTTGGAATTGTTCATTAACCTTTGTTAAATGAATAGACCAGGGGCACCTGGGTGGCTCAGTGGGTCAGGCACACGTCTCTTGATTTCGCTCAGGTCATGATCTTGCTGTTAGATTGGGCTCTGTGCTGAGACAGCGCTGAGCCTGCTCAGAATTCTCTCTCCTTCTCTCTCTGCCCTTCCTCTGGTCGCTCTCGCTCTCTCTCAAAAGAAATAAACATTGAAAAAAAAATCAATAAACCAAAGCCAAGGTCACCAAGTTCATGGCAGAGTTATGGCTAATCAAGTGTTTAGTACTTTATGAATTATTAAATGGCTCCATTTCCATTATTTTGTATGGGAAACAACCATGTGAAATAATGAGGACAGTGCAAAAGTGAGGAAGCTGAGGCTCAAAGAATTCAAAGACTTTTCCAAAGTCACACAGCTGCAAGAAGAGCTCCAATTCTGCATTCTAGCTCCATCCTTTGGAATTAGAATAAAACCAATCTCACTTTTATTCTTTTTAAAAAAGATTTTATTTACTTATTAAATTAAAAAAAATATTTATTTGAGAGAGAGAGAGAGAGAGAGAGGCAGAGTACGAGCGAGGGAGGGGCAGAGGCAGAGGGAGACACAGAATCCAAAGCAGGCTCCAGGCTCTGAGTTGTCAGCACAGAGCCATAGGTGGGTCTCCAACTCACCAACCGTGAGATCATGACCTGAGCTGAAGTGGGACATTTAACCCACTGGGCCACCCAGGCATCCCAAGATTTTATTTTTTAAGTAAACTCTACACCCGACTTGGGGCCCGAGCTCGCTACCCCAAGGTCGAGTCGCATGCTCCACCAACTGAGCCAGCCAGGCGCCCCTATCTCAATTTTTAGGATGCCTGGTTTTGATATTTTTAGGTCCAATCTCTCTGTGCCTCACTTTCCTCTTGGTGACAGAACAGTACCCACCTCATGGGCTTGTTGTAAAGATTACACAAGCACCTCACTATGTAATACGTGCTCAGGAAAGGTCACGGTTTTCTAATTGTTCTCACTCCGCCCTCCACGCCTAACCCTGGGGACCGGAGGTTTCGGACCTCTCCCTCTCCCTCCCAAGGTCTCCCCTGACTTTACTCCTCTCAGAGGCTTTTCCCTCAGCTTTCTAGCCAGCTGCCCCAGACAGTCCGCATTTTCCTCTGGATGATCCACAGTCCTGGGAGAGTTTAATTAGATACTTCCCTGAACGTGGCTTATTTTGGGCTTTCCGAGCGCTGAGAGGGGGAGTGGGAAACTGTGTCGTGGAGTCTGGAACTGGGAAAAACAGCAGTCTCGCATAAAACAAACTAACAAACACGCACACACAAAACCCGCTCCGACCGTTAACTAGGGGTTGGCCCCGCGACACACCCGCGCCGCTCTCCCTCCCGCCGCCAGGCGGCGCGCCAGGAAGCTCTGGAAGTCGGCCCCGGACTGCGCACGCGTTCGTGTTCTGCCTTACTCTTCCCCTCACTTCCGCTGAATTTTGCATCGCTGTTTGTCCCAGACGGCGACCCGTACGGATCCGAATCTAGCCCGGGAACTAAGAGTTAGAGGAGCGAGATCCACGAGTTTACCGATTCCGGACGGCCTCGCGACCGGCAAGATGTGCTCCCTGGGGTTGTTCCCTCCGCCGCCGCCTAGGGGTCAAGTCACCCTCTACGAGCACAATAACGAGTTGGTGACAGGCAATAGCTATGAGAGTCCGCCTCCTGACTTCCGGGGCCAGGTGGCCGGGGCGAGGAGGGAAGGGACCTACAGACATGGGGGCGGGGCACGGGGCACCGGAGGCAGTGTAGCGGGGACTGGGTAGCTGTCCTCAGTCCGGCGAACTGGAAACCGCCTGGCCCAGGTTTGAGAATAGAAGGGCTGGAATGTATTTTAGGGCTGGGATTGGAGAGTGAGGGATGTCGAGGAGCTGTGGGGGCAGGCCTAGAGAGGATGGAGAGAATGAGGGAGAACTTAGGGGATGTGAGGGTGCAGGAGAACTACCGAAAAGTTCGGTAGTTCTCTACGCTGCGGAGGCACAACCTGGAGCGTTTTTTTTACCCACAGCGTTCCTAGGGAGGAAAAGGGAGAGAAACTGACACTTACTGAGCATTTGCTACTTACGAAAGAGGCTCTGAGTCAGATGTGCTTCACAGATATTATAAGATTTAATAATCACAGCAATCCTATGAAATACTCTAGTTTTCCAGATAAGGGAGCTAAGCTCAGTTTCCTTTTCCCACCAGGGTTACATGTATGGGAATGGGAAACAGGTGTTTGGAGCCTCTTACTCTTAGCCCAGCCATGGTTTGGAGATTGACCGGGAGTTCAGCAAAGATCCGGGGGAGAGACTGACTCATTATTACACCACTTATTTCTGGCCTATAGTGGATCAATCTTCCTGTTCTGAACCTGACTAAGGATCCCCTGAAGACCCCTGGGAGGCTGGACCATGGCACAAGAACTGCCTTCATCCACCACCGGGAGCAGGTGTGGAAGAGATGCATCAACATATGGTGAGAGGTGGTGAAGGGTCTCCTGGGCGGTGGTCTGCAGATCCTGAAGAAGATGGGGTCACCGTCCCTCTGCCTTGGGCTGCCAAGCTCTCTCTAGGTTAGGGCTGGATATCATCCATCGTAACAAATTAGCTGCCCTTACTGAGAAACCTGTCAACAGTAGTTCATTTCATCTCCAGTGACTTGCCTTGCTTTCTGATTTGATTAAGTGAGTCTGCTCCCTGCCCCCTCTTCACATCATTACCATTTTCTGAGCTTTTGTCTGAAGCTTAGGTATAGGTATTATGTTGCAGTGAATAAATAATCTCCTATTGGGGCGCCTGGGTGGCGCAGTCGGTTAAGCGTCCGACTTCAGCCAGGTCACGATCTCGCGGTCCGTGAGTTCGAGCCCCGCGTCGGGCTCTGGGCTGATGGCTCAGAGCCTG